TCAAGGGACATGCACTGTTATTTGCAGCCATTACTGAAGGCCACCTCCCTCTATGCTTTACTGAATGTGCATCTGACACCTAAACCAAGTAGAGGAACCATCTATTAACTAGGCATGTAAAAGGAGACCTGTTTTGGAGGACACCAACCCATGCTTTGATTGTACTATTTTCAAGTGGTCACACTCAACTGTGTGTTTGAAGCAAGACAAAAAAAAGCTATACCATTAGAAGTCTGGTGGTAACAGATATAAGTGCTATTGGATGCCACACATTTATTGATGGTTAAGCAATTACCCTTTTTCTTTTAATTGTACATAAGCTAGAGGTCTACATCTACTGAGGGGCATTCGTGAAGTACTGCAGGTATTGCATGTTGAGTAAAGGAAATGCACTGCATTTCCTGTTGTGAAATTGTGATTGTTCTATGCTATTTTTCTGTGATTGAAAACACTAGTAGTTTAACTATGTGCAGAAAGAGTGAAAGGAAACCTGTGCTGAAAGAAATATGAAGGCTGTCATTGATAACCTTATTCTAAAAATGTGCATTGCTTGCCTGTCTAACTTCAATACTTTGAGTCATAGACCTGTAACATGTATACAGCAAGTGAAGACAGAACTCCAATCATCCAGGTTTGTTATACGAAAAGTACTGAAGACATTGGTGCAGCACAGCAGCCAGGCAACTAGCATTTTCAGCAGAAAAGATCAGCATTGGCAGTCTACACAGCTCTTTTAGCAGGATGTCCTTTAAACCGAGCAGAGTATTAGAAACACTCACTTTTCTTATTCATTGAGAAGTGCTATTAAAAAATAGATATTGGTGTGTGAAAGGTAAGGAGTGTCTTGTTATAGGGAGACATCCAAACAGTACTTTGGTTTGCATCTTTATTGGTATTCAGTCAGCGTGCTTTGGCACTGGGGCGCCAGTAATTTTAGAGTAGTTGAGAACAGAATTAGGGTCTGGATACTATGGGCTGGTCCAGCTTAAATGGCAAACTGGCACCTGTCCGTTACTTAACATTAAATGGCGTCACAGGCAACAAGTGTCTGTTGGGTAGGGGTATAGGGCCACTTAGCACACCCAACAGATACTTGGCACCTACAGCAATATTTGGCCTACAGTAAACTGTAGCTGGCATGGCAGATCAAGCCTAAGTACCTGGATACCACCTCCATTCTCCATATGGATTAAAACTAACATTAGTTGGAGCTCTGAAGAAGGTGGAGCCCCAAACTCCTAAAAACACATTGCTGCCATTTTGTGAATACCAATAAAGACGTGTACCAGTGGGATTTGTACCACTGTCTATACATTAGCCATTCCTTACCCTACACACAGATGCCACATGTCTGATGAAGCAGCATCCCAGCTGGTTCCTTTAGAGGTTGAACAGCCAAAAAACAAAATACACAGTCCCAACACAACAGAACTCTAAATTTGTATTTCAAGAAAGTGGCACAAACTGTGAAATCAGTGCAGTATTACGACACAAAGCAGCAGTTTTTCACAGAAAACAGAGCAGGGATCTTGTTACCACTGTAGGGGAAACCAGCATGAAGGAGACTTGTATTCTCCGCCACACCAGTCCATCATGTTTGAACAGTCACGTCAAATTAAATAGACAGCTATGGGGGGGGGGGGGGTTGTTTTTTCAGATATATTGATAAAGGAGGGGCTACAGTAAATTGCAGCCGGGATTCAAAGTTCTGATTGGGGTTTCACTATGGGGGTTGCAATGCTAAACTCTAGTAAATAAAGTCCACTTTTCTCCACATTGTAGCAAATTACACTAAGGTAGTGTGTTAGAAGTTAAACATTGTTGGTGGTATTCATTACCTACTTTGCTTCTATAGGCCAGAGTGTTTAAAATAGTAAACCTGTCGACCATATTTAACTGTTAAAAGTAAAAGCCCCACTCAACACCAGACCTTTCAAGCTGCCTGCCAATACATTTGTTAGGGAAATCGCCATCCACTGTGTGCCACTACGAAATTAGCTTCACTTAGTGGACTTGAAAACTAACTCCATACAATACTTTTCTCCTTCCAGAAAGCGTGCCCTTACTGGCTACTGGTCACTTTCACTGGATAGGGGGATGGCAGTCAGAATGGCTTTATTTTGAAGTTTGCAACATCAGACCCCTTGCAACAAAGTAAAAAAGTCCTGTGTACTGTACAATTAAAGCAGAACTGCACCCAAAAGTGAATGTTCCGCTTTAATGACTGGTCCCTCCGCTCCCCATTAAGGATTGGCATCTTTTGGGAGTGGGTACCCGAAATTGACAGGTACCCACGCCCACTGATCGCCTAGGTCAGAAGCGGAAGTTGTCCTCCTACCCTTCCTCCCCACAGTCTTCTGGGACACGTGACAGGTCCCAGAAGACTACGGGGCCATTCAGGAAGCGCAGCGATACTTGCGCATTCGCAGTTGACACCCGGCTGTCCAGCCACAAATTGTCACAGCAGGGTGCCCACACTGAAGATGCCAGGAGAAACACCACAGGATTGTGGGACAGATGAGTGGCTGTTTTTTTTTTTTTTTTAGAAGTCAGCAAATACAGTTTTTGTAGCTGCTGAATTTTATTTTGTCACAGTGCTACTGGAACTCCACTTTAAGAACTAGTTTCCTGGCTAAGGGAGTGTTTATGCAAGTATTTTATTTGTCTCATGCAGAGAAAGAACACCTGAAAAATAAGCCCGTTTTATCCTATACAAACTCCAGATGGAAGCTTGTGAGCTCTGCTGTTACTTTAAGAAGTTTAAATGGAAGAAAGGTTCACTTGAAGCTACTTTCTTCCATAGAACATTATCTCCTCAAAATAGAAGAGTGTAAATACTTTGTCAGCTGGGAAGGAGTCCAAACACCTCTGCCCTGCACAACAGCAACTTCCAATTGCTGAGGTTCCTCCTGCTGGCCCCTACATCACATAGTTGTCGGAGAAAGAAACAACAGTAGGCAACAGGGTATGCAGATATTTCAACGCTCCTGCAAGTGTTGGATGCAGAAGACTTTGCTGGTGGCTTCAGCACTAGAAGACCAAGGTATTTGGACTGCTGCTAAGGTAAGCATTCAGAGTATTTTATTGCAGGGAACCCTTCTTGTCCTGGAAAGTGACACAATTGCTTTAAATCTCAAACGTGCCTAAAAGGAAAATGTTCAGGGATTTTATCTGTCTATAGTTGTCTACAATTAACTAGTTGACAATAAAATGTTCAGATATGAAACGTTAGGATTGTAGCCTCTAAAATGCAGAGTACTGTGCACAGACAACATGACCCCAAAACATATTCAAGCATTTTTCCACTGCACAAAAAGCTTCCCCGGTAGGAGCAAGCATACATGAGTGAAAAGGTAAAGAACAGCTTTTACAGATCCCAACTGACTGTTTTCACTTCTATTTGCTAAAATGTAGAACTATTTTAAGCAATTTTAAAATAATAATTTGACATTAAACCATATTTACCTACATTGTTCAATTGAACATGTTTTAAATGGCGTTACTTATAATAAGGTAATTAAAATGGGCTTAAAATAAACCTTTGCCAAAATGTTTTCCAAAAATCCTTTTCCATTCTCAAAGGGTGTTTATAGTACAAGGTAAAAAGAGACTTGAAAGTGTTACCCAAATTGCTTCAGTCTCCTTTGTAAGACAAAAGTTTAAAAAAAAAAAAAAAAAAAAAGAAGAAATTTAAAGTATTTGGAGTCCTGAAAAGTCACGGGTGCTGCCAAAGTTTGTCTTAAAACAGACCTATCTACTAAGACGGAGATTTCCATTTTATGAGTGGAGCAAATGTTTGCAATTATAGATCTAAGCTGTTCAATAGTGGACTTTTTGAGGTAGAGGTGTTCTTAAATGTCATGACCGACCACATTACTGAATTGTAGTTGGCTTGCCTTAAAAGGATAAATGCACTTCTGTACAGTTATCTTTTATGGCTTATTGAATACCATGGTTAGTTATCACAACTGAGTGATAATCAATATAAATCGAAGCATTAACCAACACTAAATGATTTGTTGGTATAGGATTATAGTACATGTATTATCTCCATGTTTAAAACAAAAATAAAACAACTTTTATTATTTGTCACCACTTTATGTTTTAGCCTTTTCTTGTGGCTTAAAATTTGGGGCAGCGTTATCGCTTGACTGCCTATATATTATACTATAGAGTTTTAATGTGTACTTTTTTTAAAAAAAAATTATTAGTTTAACATCCACATTATTTTCTAATTTGATCATATTTTAATACAGATGACATACCCCCAGCAGTAACATACATTTTTATGTCTGTCTTGTAGCCCTGAAATAGAGGGAAGTCCTTTAGCCACCAAAAACGTGTTGGCTGTGCTGTATTTTTTTTTCTTCTCATGAATCAATATCAAAATGAAAAGTTCTTAGACACTTATACCTTCTCATTGGCGCTTTTAGACTCTATAGCATGCGAATTTTCAACTCTGGGACCCCCATTTGAAAAAGATACCCCTATTTTTTGTCTCAATGGAGTTACTGTACCCTGGCGTAATCTGATTGAGAACCTGCAAATCAAGTGCATTTTGTTTTTTTTTATTTACTCGCTTGTAGTTCGATTACAGCCATGAACGGTCAGCCCTAATTTAAATGAAACCTTTTATACAACTACAAACCCAGAACAATTGACCTATTACAATACTGACAGTGCAATAGGGGATAGCAGTACATTGTAGCATTCTGGTATTACAGTGCTCCAGGTGTGAAAGGCTTTGATAGTGCTTTGTTAAAGACTAAGGCTTTCAATATACATTACATTTCTGAATCCAGACCGAAGGGAAAATATTGTTTTAAACACAAAAACCAGCAGATTTCCAGAACAGTTTTGATCTCTTCATGGTGGATAGGATGTCTCATGTTCAAAACAAGGCAATGATGGCCTATGTTCCTTTTAAGTTCAAAGGAAGAAGAAAATTAAAACAAAATGTAACTAAGAAGTTGGAAGGAAGGTTTCCATGGACATGATGATTAGTAGAGTGTTTCAGCATTACTGTTCCTGGGCCTTTTGATTTTTCTCAATGTTTTTGAAGATCATGTCATGTAATGTCACCTGAAACAGACAACACAGTGTTAAGTAAACAAAACTCTCCATACAATAACTTGGCTGAAATGAAAACTCAAGTCATGTGAAAGGTTATTCTACACAGGAGATTTTTTTTTCTTTAAGTTGAAGTTGAGCCAGTTATTTTTTTTTGCTCTCCTTTAGCTGCAATCACATTACTTACCTTACCTGTAATTAGATGTCACACACTATGCATGCAGCTTGATCCTGTAGAGATCACCTGTGCCAGGATGCCCCTGGAGCTGAACTTCTGCTGCCAGTGTACATTGCATGTAATACGATCTCTGGTGGAAAAAAATCTTGTCATTCATCCAAATCTCCCCCATTCAGGGATCATTTTACACGCAGTGTGCACGAGTTATTCTCAAAGGGTGAGAGAGGTTTATGGGGAAGGTCCCCCAATGGTTTCCACTGCAACTCACAGAAGCCCTGACATGATTAGATCCCTCAGCGTCAGAAGTTCCCACAGAAGAGCTCTACAGGACACAGCTGCCTGAATGACATGGGATACAGTATGCTTAATTACACGTGGTGCGATAACAGCCATAGAGGGGGAAAAAAAAAACTTTTTGACCAAATTTCAGCTTTAATATTCACCAAAAAACTTTATTCCTCACCAAGGTTGTTAGGAACCCATGAAAAAAACAGACAAAGCTTTTTTGGCTGTACTTCTTCTATGGATAACAGGAGTGTAGTTTGTTCTGCACTCCTGTAACTCATTTTCAGCTGACAGTGGACGGACGTCACTCAACTGGTCCAGGCTTTGGGAGTGGGGTTGGGGGGATGGGCTGAGCAGACAGCAGTGACTGACAGTCCCACTCTCTGCTCAGACAGAGGAGAATTCAGAGCCGGCGGGGGACCGATGCTACATCCACCTAGGTAAGTATAAATGGGGAACGGGGGAGGGTTACCCTGCTGTCACCCACCCGAAACAAGGATTGTTTTTATTTTTTTTGGCAGACTTACTACCTAAAATGCATAGTGGCAAAGTAGCACTACAGGCAGCTTAGATTAACCACTTGCCTGCTGGACACTTATACCCCCTTCGTGCCCAGGTCAATTTTCAGCTTTCAGCGCTGTCGCACTTTGATGCCCTCCCAGAACTGGTTAGCCGCGATGTAGCCGTCATTCGGGTATAGCAGAGTTAGCAAGTGGTTAAAAAGAGAACTAAAACATCTTTTTCTATAAAGGTATTACAGCAGGAGATCAAACTGATCATTTTACTACAGGAAGCATTAAAACCCAAAAGATAAAGTTACTAGAGTAATAAATGCTAATTACATATTGGTTTCTCAGCTCTGATATTATTAGCCGTAAGCTGATATACTCTTTTTCATCTATTTCTGTCACAGTACGTCGATAATCTTCCTGCAAAAGATCAGAAACAAAATTAATAATGAACAAGTATTCAGGTTTTACTTTGGTATGAGCAAGTGAATACTAAGAGGAATGTTACCGACATAAGTTAAAACCCACAAATGTTTTTTTTATATTAAAGCAATATGTGTATTTAAAATTGAGATATGACATAACACCCACAATACAGATTTGATTTTCAGATTAGCCTTCTGACCTATAACAAAGCCTAAACTTTATTTTTGGGCAGTATGATATAGTGCAGTAATCCAAGGGTGCCATTATCCTTAACAAATAAGTAATTAGTCACAAATTCTAATACTTACCACATGAGGGTATTTTGCGATTTTGGAAACCAGTTTGGCCCGTGTGATATAATATCTAAAAAAAAAAAAAAAAAAAAGAAGGGACCATATATTAAAACATTGTTTTTCAAGATTTTGTACCACTTATCTGTTATCTAAGGGCTCATGTACACGGGGCATTTGAAAAACTCTTCTGAATGATGGAAACTGAAAAACGTAGGTTAAAAAAACACGTCGTCTGTTTAGCTGCGTTTGCATACCGTGTTTAGAAGCGGTTTTTAAAGATAACCTCAGGAGACCCTCCCAAATTCCCAGAATGCACTGAAAAATAGTAAAAAATGTACTATTTCAGACATCTTGAGAGAAATAGAGCAGTATGTGTTGAGATGACCTGTCTTTTCTGGTTGTATTCACTATGAATCCCATCATGAGCATAATGCAGCGCAATCTACCATTTTTTTCCTTCATGAGAAACCTGGAACTGACTGCGCTAGTGTACCGGGTCTATTTGAATACATGGAAAACGCTGTGCATGCATTGCTAATGAGGAAAAAAGGCTCTCGACAGCATCTGGATATGGAACAGTTAAAAAAACGCTTCTAAACGTGTTTACAAGCGTTAGTCGTTTGAAACGTCGGTAAACCTACTCCTGAATGCACTGTAAACTCAACTGCCTGTAAACGACTATGTGTACATGGACACATAGACAAACAGAGTTCAGGGGCTGCTGAAAACAAAAAAAACCCAAAAAACCCCCCCAAAAAAAACCACACACACCGAACAGCTCCTGAACGTCAGTTAGTAGTTGCAGTATACATGAGCCCTAAGTGAATGAGCCCACAGTAAAGACCATTTCTCAGGATGCAGGGCTTGGTTGTGTCCAGGCTAATCTCCAGACATGAACACAGTATGCAACACTGTTTAGTAATAGCATCAGGTCTCCAAGTACTAACAGTGAAAAAGCATCGGGGAACAGCAGACTGACAAGCAGGTGGGGTTTGTTGTTCTAGGAGAACCCGTCACTTTTAACCTAATTAAATAATGTGACCGGAAAAAAAAATATATATATATCCCGATAATATTCAGTACGCCATTTCAATGTTTTGTCATTAACTACCTTGCCATGCCACCTCATGGACTTGTAACCCCGACTGACCAGATTCCGAATATACAGGCTCGACGTTATCTTCTCCCATTGTGGAAGGAATGCCTGTAGTTTTCTTCCCACCAGAGGCAGTGAGTCACTGGGATTTTTCAGGCTGTGCAGGAGTAGAAAAAAAAAAAAAAAAAAAAAAAAAAAAAAAGGACTCCTTTTTCTCTTTCATTCTGTGATGACCAGGCCTTTTTCTTTCCTTGCAGCTTCTCCCCTTGCAAGCTTCTCCATGGATGAAAAAAAAAAAAAAAAAAGCTTTTGAACTTGTTTTTTCTTCTTCACAGGAAAATACTTTTTCCTGTCTGCTCTGTGATCCAAAATTGACTAAGTCTGGCCCAAAGAGGCTATCTCCTGAAAGAGGGATTCCACGTAGCCTAACTTTGGTGTCGAGTCCCCCTGCCATGTTTTTAAGCATAAGGCCCTTCTTGCCAAATTAGATAAGGCAGCTGAGCAATTTGTCACGTGTATGGATTCCGCAGACGAATCCGCTATATACCCTACAGCTCTTGAGACTGTAGGGAAGGTATCTAAAATCTCATCCTTTGGGGTCTCTGCATTGATATGCGCCTTAAGCTGGTTCAGCCAACGCTCCAGATTTCTTGCTACGCATGTGACTGACATAGCTGGCTTAAAATTTTCCATTGTGGAATGCCATGCTCTCTTCAACAGCAAATCCATTCTTCTATCCATAGCCTCTTTCAGGCTCCCTACGTCTTCAAAGGCTAAGTCTAAGCTTTTGGAGACTAGGGAAACCGTGGTGTCTCCTTAGGCACTTTGTTGATGCTGATGCAGAGTCTTGTTCAAACGGGAACCGTCTCTTGTGGGATCTAGAAAAAAAAAAAAAAACGTTTCCTTTCCGGATTCTGCCATTCCTTTTTTATCATGTTTGAGATGGCCGAATGTACAGGAAGACCTCTCCCTTTTGGTTCACTGAGGCCCAGGTACATTTGATCATGGAGGGAGAGAGCTCTTTCCACCTCTTTAATCCCTAAGGTGGCATGAATCGCTTTAAGTAGTTATTCCACATCCTCCAGCAACAGCTTATATTTAAATGCGGAGGAATCCTCTGCCTCTTCCCCATCACCCTGACTGTGGAGAGACAGCCACCTGTTCAGAAGGTATCCCTGACACTACTTCTAAGGAAGTTGATGATTATGGTGTGTGGGTAGGCTCAAAAGCAACCTGGGATGAAGACTCCAACATATTTCTGAAAGACTGCAAGGTTTCTCTCCACTCAGCCTTCATGGAAGCCATAAAATCACTGGAAGTTGACGCTGTCTCCTTCCTCTCTCACTAAAGCAGAAAATGCATAAAGGCTTTCCAAGCATCTGACAATTTAGACTTGCATGAAGGACATCTCTTGCTAGACTCCTTTTCACTGCTCTTAGCCCAAGACAAAGCACAAGGAACATAGCCACTTAGCCAATGACTGACCTTAAAATGCACCCAGTGTAGCCAGAGTTCAAACCTCCACACCACTAGTATACTGACCCCACACATCAAGGATCCAGAGCACAAGATAGGCCCCTCAGCCACCAGGAGGAAAAGACGCTACAGAGCCCTGCAAAGAAAAGCAGCAAAATACAGTCTACCCATAGGAAGCCCTCTCCTACCTGGGTTTTGCTGGTGCCTCCACCTGTGCCTGGAGCTGCAGTCACTTCTGACACCTCCATATCAGAGCCTGCAGCGGTCCACGTAGCTGTGTCTCCTGGTCCCAGCATTCTGGAACGCTGCTGTGCCAGCCCGGGACCGGAAATACATACTGGCTGGGTCCAGCCTCCTCCCCATGCATCCAGAATTGATGCCACATGCCCAACCAGAAGCTCCGCCGCTGCCTTGAACATGCCCAGACGCTGCTGGACACAAAAAACATGGCCACCGCCATTGTCCACACAGCAATATTAGGGCTACAGGCTACCTGGTGGTACTGGCTCTTCCCAAGCACTGAAGGGGGGAGAGAGGAGCCAGGAACAGACCCCCCCACCTGGGACTCTGCCTGGAGGACCCATGCTGCAAAAAGGTAAGAGAAAAAAAACAAAACAGAGACCTCTCTCAGGCAACCCCTGAGAGAACACAGTCCCTACAGTTCCTGTGTGTTCCTACCTGGCTGGAGGAAACACGATAACTGAGGACTGTGGGGAGAGGCCTCCAATTTGTAGTCTTTGTGGGTGTGTGCCTCCTGCGAGAGAAGTAGAAGCTGTGTTCTCACGTGCTGTTCTGAAAGATGTTTTCAGAAAAAAAAAAAAAATGATGGACCTGGTGCAAAAGCACGAAAAGTTATTTACAAATTAAATTATTTCCCGGTTGCTTTAACGCATTCTTTTTAGATTTTCAGATGAACAGAGAAAATACAATACACTTTGTATCTCTTTAGCTGGAGTCTGAAGGTTTAGAAATCCTGTCAGGTGGTCCGTTTTTTGACCGCAGTGGCTGTAATAGCTTCTAAATTTACACAACTCTCGACTGTTCGTTTGAGAAGTAGTAGTAGTGCCCAATGTCCACAACTGGTTAAAAAGATAAGCAGATGTCTAGGAGCTTTATACTGCCCTAGGCTACCTAGGGCTTGTCAGTGTTTTAATCCTCCTGACATCAGAAGAGCATCGACCCAAATGTTTATTTAGATAACCACAGCATCATAAAAGTCTCCCTACACTGAGTAAATTGCACTTGTCCTTTAATCTATCACCATGTCAGAGAAATATTGCAAGACATCTTAGAAGAAAAAAAAAGGAAAAACCATACAACTAGACAAACTGAAAAGGAGCAGCATATGTACTAGTGATTAGAGAGAAAAAAAAAAGAGAAGTTGATCCAAATGGGCAAAGTCAATGATCCATCCAATGCATTTTGGAGCCCTCCATTACCAGGGCTATAAAATAAATCGAATACATTGATAAAAAATTACAATAATGGGCATGAAAGAGCTGAATAAAAAAAAAAAAAGGTATATACCAAATCTATTGGAAATACATCTAATATTATATTAGGCTATAGATTATTCTTTCTCATCTCTACATAGGTACAATCATGCAGCAGTTTCTGATCAGCGACCAATAAAGGTCTTTTTGTGCCTGAATGTTTGGCACACTTTTATACATGAGATCTTTGTAAGACAAATAAGATAAATGAAATGCTGGATGTTCCTACTCTATCATGCCTCACCTGGAAATCTGATCAAGATATGATGCAGCTTCACTCTCCACTGTTCGCAACTCAGCCACGGTCTCTTCCTAAAAATGAATAGAGCAGAAATCCAATGTTAAGATAAATTAATCACTTATGTAATGCAGTTGATGTAGTTTTAGATAGAGATTTGTTGCTTCTTGTCCATTTGCAAAGCCACTTAAGTTAACTACTCACTATTTTTTCCAGTGTAACCATTTAATTTATTACCATTATTTTTCTGAAGCCTGAAACCGTTTGAAACGGTGCTCACTGGTGCTGCAACTGACTTGAAGTTTGCGAATGAGCTCCATATGAGATACCAAATTAAATCGGTAATGAAAAAACTTGCACTAAAGAGCACTAGAATACATCATCTGGCACTGGTTGCAAAAATGCAATAAAAAGTGAAGACGATTAGATGAGAAAACCTTACAGTTAGTAGATTAATGGGAGAGAGGAAGAAAGCCAACATTTCAAATAGAACTATTAAATTGTCAGAGCAAAACAAAGCATGGTGATCTTGGTAGAATTGCCTTGGTTCCCAATTTCCTGTTGTGCGGACAATTTTTTAGACGAACGTTACAAGAAATGGTGTCAGCCTTTCCCAGTTGTCTCTTGCCGTACTACAAAACACCACAAAAAAAAAAAAAGGAGGTGGTGTTCTGTAGTCAAAAAGAAGATCTGGGAGAGCTGATCAGATTGCCTGAGTTTACACTACAGAATACAAGGCAGCTTTGGACAGAATTATTTTTCTTGAACAAACCGAACAGAATGCAGTTCAGTATCTGGAATTGAGGTAGATGGTACTGTCAGGTGGAGTAATCTCCACCTGACAGGCACTATTTCGTTGACCGGTGCCATTTCAGTGTTAACAGCACTCCCACTACAGACACCAATGCTGGTGGTTATTACTGTGGTTACAGACACCAATTGCTGGTGGTTATTACTGCAGACACCAAAGCCAATCAAAATTATCACACTGGGAAAAGGTTCATACAGTAAAATAACCACTAAATACTTCAAAAAGGAACTGGGAATTTTTTTCCCTACTCAACTGGGCTGTGCCCACACTGCAATGGTTAACTGCTTACTTTTGTCTAGGGGATTAAACATGCCAGATATATTGACCGAATCCATCGATACTCCCAGGGCAAGACTGATCCTTGCCACTCCTGACACCCCAACCCCCCTCCCCTCCCGTAGTCTCATGGTTCTGTGCAGTGGACTGTTCTGGACGTCATCACGACCAGAAACTGGCTCTGGATGTGAGAACGGCAGTAACAGTCGACCGCTGAATGGGGGTGGGGGGATTGGTGAGTATAAACTGTATTCACCCCTAGATAAATGCAGCAGTTAACACATGCAGTGTGAGCACAGACGAGCTGCATGGGAAACAAAAAAAATAAATTCTCGGAGCTCTGCTTTAACTTTTTATTTTCTTTGCTACAGAGGAAACCCAGGGGAAAAAAAACAAAAAGAAGAGTATATGCCTATAGAACCAGAATAGGAGATATCCAACTAATTAACTCTGATTTCTACAAGATATTGGGAGCCAACTACTGGAGTAGAGCCTACTTCCAAATAGGAGGATGTTCAAAATATGTATTCTGAGGAGTCCACAATAATAGTAAGGCATCAACTGTTCACTAGAGTCAAGCTGTGGGTCTAAAAGCAACCATGAAATGAATAGTTCAATCCAACCCTAAATTTGGTGTTGAGGGAATACAGGGCTATCTTCATGGGGTATAAAGAATGCTTTGGACCACTAAAAGTGCATATTACCACGCACAAACATTGCACAACTTGTTGAAAACCTGTGTGTTGTGGACATGCCTTCCTCCCATCACCACCATTATCTGGGTATTACCTGGATAGACACCCCAAAGTTATTGCCATCTTCTATCCTTGGAATAAGAAGCTGAACCCACATTTTTACCTAAAGGCAGAAAAAAAAAAAAATTAAAAACACAAAAAGTAGGCAATTCAGTTCAAACTTTTTAAAAATTATGGCAAAGCTACTGTCCCAAAAAATAAAACGACAGAATTACACATACTGGAGAAAGTGTGAAGCTGTACTACTTCCTAGCCATAGAATGAACCCATTTACTACACCTCCAGTTATTTCTCTCTTAGCACCAACATGTGTTGAAAGCTATAAACTGCCAGGGAAGCAAGAAGCTCCCTTCTGAATTGCAGTTGTCTACAACAGTTTAGGACTACTCATACCTAATACACACATTGCTACTAACTTCTACCTTATGCCACTGTCACACCTGCTGCCATTTACATATTCACTTTTTTTGCTCCGTATTATGTACTTCTGAATATGGCCAGCACACTCACGGTATTGCACTTCTCAATGAGTAACCTGATCTCCGGCTTCACTTTTTCAATGATCTCAACTAGAGGTACATTACTCTTCAACATTCCATTGGGCATCACAAAAACTTTGGTGCCTATGAAACAAAAATGGACCATTACTTACTGAGAGAGATAAGAAAATAAATAACCATCATTGTACACCTTAGACAAAATAAAAACACAACAAAAAATCAAATATGATTTCACCGGTTTGATAATCAATGGAATCCAAATATTATATTGCAGTTTATTGGCCCTTAGATAAAGTGGCTGCATTGGCTTGTTATCCCTTTATTTTCACCTGGTTATCCTGCAAATAAATTCCTGTCTCTTCATATCTATGCTCCCCCCCCCCCCCAACTGTATCTAGAGAAGGAGACACGGTTGTCACATAGGCTGGAATTTACACATATTTGCCTTTGTTTATCTCCATTACATGGTAGATTGAAAGGACTAGTAGTTTGCACAATAGCGATACAGTTTTGTGCTCTTTTAAGGGCCGGTTCACACTAGAGAAATGCAGTTCAGATGAGTTCCAGATGAGTTTCCGAATGCGTGTTTTTGACGCGTTCCAGTTCATTTTTTCTCCGCTCTCTCTCCCTTCAATTTAAATAGGGACATGTGAGTTCCGATGCATTTTACCATGTTCCAGTACAGTACTGTGCAGAAAAAAATGCAGCATATTTAATTTTTTCTGCAACTGGAATGCACTGGAACTGCAAGCACTGATGTAAAATATGAAAGTGACAATATAACCTACTTTCTGTGAAAACAAAAAAAGAAAAAAAACACTGAAACGCATGTAGTGTGGTGTGAACTGGCCCTTAAGCTTAAAGGATGAGATATGGACATGCATTTCTGTTAAGAACAGGTATTTTCTGTGCTTGCTGGAAATGTTCATTTTAAAACGGACAGTTAAGGCAGCCACTACATCTAAGGACTCCTATGCTGCAATATATTAACAATTAGCTAAATTAATTATAGAAAGACGCAATCTTAGAAAGTTTGTGATTTTTCTTTTCTGCAACAGACGTACAGTGGATACATTCTCTAGTACATCATCTAGGAATATCATGGTTTCCTACTAGACTAGGTTTCCAACATTTTTCATCTAAACCCTTAAAAAAGAACTCAACAGCAGCCACTGCTGAATTCTGCCTTAAAAACACTAGTTCAAGCCCACCAGACGTGAAACTTTGAGCCTGGGGCCAAGAAAATGTATGCATAATCAAGAGTTGCAGGCAGCATGCTTCATCCAGATTAGTCTCACAAAAAGTATAGGTACCAGTCAACTATACATTTTCAGAGGTAGGCCAGAAATGGCAGCCTTCATATGCCTCACATTGCCATTAAACTTGTCAGCCAAGCCTATCAGCCTGGCATATTCTTCACTAGGTATCAAACCCTTTTGATCTCACATGTGAGAGGTATGAATACACCTGAAAAAAATGTTTAATTACTGAGAGAACTTAACCGTAGCAAATCCCAGTTCCCGACCGAATCGCTCACTTTCTGCTGCAAGATCCCGCAGTATACCGGACCTATTACACCCTCGAGCCCCCCAGACCTGTGTCGGGACGACGGCCAAGATGGCGCCGGAGAGGGATGAGGCAGAACACAGTGAGGAGTCGGTGGCAGCATCAGAGGATCTGGTAACAGATCTAGAGCCCTCTGATCACCCCCTCACACTGTCAGATATGACCAAGAATGCTGCAGATATCAAGCACACTTTCTCCTCAGCTATTACTGAACTTAAAGCTGATTTATTAGAACTCATTGACAGGCTGTCTGATCAGGAAAGAAAGGATACAAGAAGAGATTCGGTTACGGAACGCTTAGAAACAGTAGTTTCCTCATATGCTACCCACCTCAGCTACATTAATAGATAACTGAAAGATTTAGACAACAGGGGTCGTCGGCAGAATATAAGGGTGAGGGGAGTACCTGAATCGGTAGACCCGACCCAGGTGAAACTAGCGCTGTAAGCAATTTTCAACAGCCCGCTTGATTGCCAAAGGGACACAGTGATTGAGTTTATTAGAGCCCATAGAGCACTGAAGCCTTGTCCAGCAGACAGCACCTCCACGGGATATAATTTGCTGTCTAATGAGCTTTACACTTAAGGAAGAAATTCTGAATAAAGCCAGACAAAATGATCTTATTACATTTGCTGAACATTCTATTTCACAAATTTCAGGACCTTTCTCCCATTACACCTCAAAACAGAAGAGCCATAAGACCCCTATTGCAACTACTGCGGGAAAATGGAATACCCTTTAGATGGTGCTATCCATTTCTAAATGCTCTAAAGCTTCCAACTTTTTGTGAGCAATTACACCTTCCAAGACCTAAACCAGAGGGAAAACCCATTTGCAATACTTCCTAAAAGCTTCCAACTTTTTGTGAGCAATTACATCTTCCAAGTATCATATGCCTGAACCAGCCCATTCGCGCGAACACACACACACACACACACACACACACACACACACACACAACCTGACCTTCTAAGTCAATATATGTGTGATACACATTTTTATATATTGGTCAACCCCTTGGTTACAGGTTTTCAGTTATGACTTTCAGAATCTTTTGAAACAAATTGTTTCTGTGCTCTTAATATACTTGGAATGAAGGAGTTGCAGCTCAGGATTTCTACTCTATTGATGTATGGACTGGATATATGTTCCTTGTGATACAGATAATCACAAAGACATATATACCAGTATGATTTTGATGTTGGGTGAGACCTACAGAGATCTTCCTGATGATAATAGGGTGTATTTGCTAAATTTTGCCTTTTACATGCTTAATACTGGCTCAGAAAACAGAAGGGTACTTTGGATATAGCTTTCTAAATAACAAAATGTCTGTAATTAGAAAGACCACAATTAGTTGACATTTGTCATTCTCTAGAGGAACAAGAATTAGGACATAATCAAGATATGACGAGTTCTTTTGTCCTGTTTCCCTGGGTCATTCTATCTCCTGGCGTCTCCCACTGCCCCAACCAGGCAGTAGTGAACCTGACAAAGCAGTTGGGTGAACCAGCCTCGTTGCCTCTGGCTAGTACGCAGGACACATTCCAATTGTGCCTTACTTACTCTACCCCCTCTATCTGGGGTTCACACATTTTGATCTACTTTCATATTAACTGGGTCCTGATTTAACCAGCAAAGCTTTATACATTTCCCAGTTTCTCTACCTCTTTCTTGCTTCCTTTTCCCCCATTTACTTTTTTTTTTCTCTTAGTAATTGATGTGTTGACTACATTACAGGCCGTGACACCTTTATATAACTATGGCGTATTCTTCACTAGGTACCAAACCCTTTTGATCTCACATAATGTGAGAGGTATGAATACACCTGAAAAAAATGTTTAATTACTGAGAGAACTTAACCGTAGCAAACCACGGATTGTATTTCTTTAGGAAACACATTAAAAATGGGCAAAATGTCAAGCCTTTTCAATAAAGGCTACCCTAAGCTATTTCATTCCACCAGCTCCCTATCAAAATCTAAAAGAGTGTCCATACTGTTACATAAAAATGCAGTTGACATAACCCATCATCTTGCAGACCCACAATGGAGGTTTATTTTTCTTAAGGGAACTTGGTCTGGAATGCCAATCTCAGGCCAATGTTTATTTCCCGAACTCTGCACATATAACATTTTCCCAACATTTAATGGAGGAACTGAAAGGTTTTTGCCTCCAGCTGTATTATACTGGGGGAGATTTTAATGTGCCTTTGAATCCACTCCAGGATTCATCCAATGGGAAATCCAGTCTGTCATATAGGATTTTATGGAAAATAAAATCACTCCTATCCTCATTAACGCTTGTAGATACCTGGCACACAGTACATCCCTTAGATAAAGACTTTACGTACTTTTCTCCATTACACAAAAAATTTCTCTGGAATTGATTATATCTTTACTTCACAGAGACCTACCGAGTGTACATGAGGGAAACATAGGGATTACGACATTCTTAGACCATACCTCAGTATCTTTATCTCTTCATTTACCCAAAACTAAATCAAAAGAGAGCAGCTGGAGGCTAAATCCATCATTTGTACTGGACCCAGAGGGGTTGCACTAACGAATGCTATCAAATTATACTTTGCTGAAAATGTTTCAGAAGACCTTTCCCCAATGACTGACTATCTGGGCAGCTCACAAATGTGTGATTCGGGGAGTACTCATAAGTCTAGAAGAAGAAAAAAAAAGCTGCTGAGAAACCGATCTCGCAACTAACCAATAAGATTGCACATTTATAAAGGTCAACATAAACAATCAGTGGCAATTCGGACAACTACGGAACTTCTTGAAACACTTAAATCCCTACAGTCTTTATTAGATTTAAAAGCCAAAAGAATGCTCTTCCTGAAAAAAACGTTTCTATTATGAACATAATGACAAAAAGCGGGAAAATTTTGGCTAGGGACCTAAAAGCGGCACATAGCACAAATATATCTGCTATTAAGAACAAAAAAGGACAGTTGGTTCACTCTATGGATAAAATCGCTCACATTTTTCATGCATACTACTCAGATCTGTATAATCTACCAAAGGCTCATAAACCGTGAGATTTACAGGGATCTAGATTTACAGGGATCATGCCTGGCAGAGAGGCGAGGGATAATGTCACGAAAGTCTTATATCTGATGCATAGGATACGTTCAAGTCACAGCGAAGACCTTTTGGTATCAAGAGACACTGAAAAGGCCTTTGACCGGGTTTCCTGGGATCTCCTAAAAGCCACCTACGCCCACATAGGGCTTCAACATCATATGCTTATGTGGATAGCCACTTTGCATCATAAACCCCTAGCTAGATTGAAGATAAATGGAATTTTTTCAGCCACTATACAGTGAAGAAAATACGTATTTGATTCTCCACGAATTTTGAATGTTTGCCCACTTACAAAGAAATGAGCAGTCTAAAAATCGAATTGTAGGTGTATTGTAACAGACAGAATAGCAACAAACATTTCAAAAGAAATGCATGTCTAACAAATGATGCACTGATTTGCATGTTTATGAGGGAAATAAGTATTTGATCCCCTATCATTCAGCAGGATTTCTGGCTACCAGGTGTCTTTCAACGAGCTGAGATGAGAAGCAGTCTCTTAAAGGGAGTGCTGCTAATCTAATTTTGTTACCTGCATAAAAGACATCTGTCCACAGGAGCACTCAAACAATCAGATTCCAAACTCTCCACCATGGCAAAGACCAAAGAGCTGTTCAAGGATGTCAGGAACAAGATTGTAGACCTACACAAGGTTGGACTGGGCTACCAAACTATTGCCAAGCAGCTTGGTGAGAAGGTGACAGTGAGGAATCATCCCAGAACTACACGTGAGGATCTTGTCAATGATCTCCAGACAGATGGGACCACAGTCACCAAGAAAACAATTGGCAACACACTACACCGACAAGGATTGAAATCCTGCAGTGCCTACAAGGTCCCTCTGCTCAAGAAAGCACATGTCCAGGCCCGTCTGAAGTTTGCCACTGAACATCTGAATGATGCAGAGGACTGGTTGAAAGTGTTGTGGTCAGATGAGACCAAAATCAAGCTCTTTAGCATCAACTCAACTCACCATGTTTGGAAGAGGAATGCTGCCTATGACCCCAAGAACACCACCCCAACTGTCAAACATGGTGGCGGACACATTCTGCTTTGGGTGTGTTTTTCTGCTAAGGGGACAGAACAACTGCACCGCATCAAAAAGGGACGATGGACGGGGCAATGTACTGTCAAATCTTGGGTGAGAACCTTCTTCCCTCACCCAGGGCATTGAAAATGGGTCGTGGATGGGTGTTCCAGCATGAGAATGACCCAAAACACATGGCCAAGGCAACAAAGGAGTGGCTCAAGAAGAAGCACATTAAGGTCCTGGAGTGGCCTAGCCAGTCTCCAGACCTTAATCCGATCTGTGGAGGGAGCTGAAAGTTCGAGTTGCCAAACGTCAGCCACCAAACCTTAATGACTTGGAGAGGATCTGCCAAGATGAGTGGGCCAAAATCCCTCCTGAGATATGTGAAAACCTGGTGGCCAACAAGGGATTTGCCACCAAGTACTAAGTCATGTTTTGTGAAGGGGATCAAATACTTATTTCCCTCATGAACATGCAAATCAGAGCATAATGTTAGACATGCATTTCTTTTGAATTTTGTGTTGCTATTCTGTCTCTCAGTGTTACAATACACCTACCATTCGATTTTAGACTATTTCTTTGTGAGTGGGCAAACATTCAAAATCAGCAGGGGATCAAATACGTATTTCCTTCACTGTATGCTACAAATAAAACGTATGTATGTTTCAAGTTGTACTGATGTTTTTGCGAATTGTTGATTTTGCATGAAAACTATATATCAGTTTAACAAGATTATTGCACATATTGAATAAAAGGTTTACCAGATAAGCTGTGAACACTTGTCTATGCTGCCTGGCATTGTTGAATGCTGGGAACAACTGGATGCATATTGTAACTGAGAACTCTGCCAAGTATAATTGTATCATTGTAAAGTGTACTGTTTTGACCTTGCCTTGAAACCTCAAAAAAATTTTTGATGAAAAAAAAAAAAAAAAAACATGTTTATATGATATGGGTTCAGTGAAGTGATTGTATGTTTCACTATTCTTGTATTCTGCGGATCCATATCATTCCTAATGTCTAGTAGCTACTGTGGTCCTGAGCTACCTGCGTGATCCCCCCCCCCCCTTTTTTTTTTCTTCCCTTCATAAGTTCAGCTGTGTATAGTACAACTGTATTGTGACACATTTTGTTCTATGCTTATTTTCTATCAATAAACTAGTTAATTAAGGCAAAATAAAAGAAAATTGGACTTGCTGAAATTCAAACCTAGCATCAGAATGGGGAAGAAAGGGAATTTTAAATGATTTTGAACATGACATGGTTGTTGGTGCCAGAATATTGAATATTTCAAAAACTGCTGATCTATTGGGATTGTCATGCACAACCATCTCTAGGGTTTACAAAGAATGTTCAGAAAAATAGAAAATATCCAGTGAGCGGCAGTTGTGTGGACGAAAATGCCTTGTTGATGTCAGAGGAGAATGGGCAGACTGGTTGCTGTGACATTCAGATAGTAGGGTCAAAATTAGGCGTAAACATGAAATCATGGACCCATCCTGCCTTGTATCAATGGTTCAGGCTAGTGGTGGTGGTGTAATGGTGTGGGGGGATATTTTCTTGGCACTAGCAAGGTGTACCTATATTAAGCCCTGTAGACATTTATAATGTCTGCATATCTGACTAGTAGAAGGTTAAAACTAGAAGATACAACATTACAGAATTATCTTTGCTCTGCTTTTTTTTTATTACCTAGTGTGTTCACTTTCACTGTGTTCTTTGATCAAATCTTTTTTAGTATTTGCATCCATTCTGACAGAAATAAAGCAATTTGTTTTCCCAAACATAATACCAACAAAAAGAAAAAAAACATACTAACCTGGGCAGTGATCATCACCATCTTCCAGTTTTCGCTTCTTAAGGTTGGGCTGTAAAAAAAAAAAAAACAAAAAAAAAAAAAAAAAAAACACACCACATAGGAAGAAGCAGTTATGTACAGTGACAGCCAACAAAGGAGACCCTCCTATTCCCTAGTCAATATCTATCCAAGTGTAAGCTTGTTCACAAAATGTTAGTACAGTAAATTTACACAGTGCTTGAAGCAACCAATTCTAGTGGCGATTCTATCTGAAAGAAGCCTAAAACCATGAAAACACTGAATGGTACAGTGAAGGAAATAAGTATTTGATCACCTGCTGATTTTGAATGCCCACTCACAAAGAAATGATCAGTCTAAAAATCGAATGGTAGGTGTATTGTAACACTAAGACAGAATAGCAACAAAAAAATTCAAAAGAAATGCATGTCTAACAAATTATGCACGGATTTGCATGTTCATGAAAAACATGACTTAGTACTTGGTGGCAAATCCCTTCTTGGCAATCACAGAGATCAGACGTTTCCTGTAGTTGGCCACCAGGTTTGCACACATCTTAGGAGGAATTTTGGCCCACTCCTCTTGGCAGATCCTCTCCAAGTCATTAAGGTTTGGTGGCGGACGTTTGGCAACTTGAACTTTCAGCTCCCTCCACAGATCGGATTAAGGTCTGGAGACTGGCTAGGCCACTCCAGGACCTTAATGTGCTTCTTCTTGAGCCACTCCTTTGTTGCCTTGGCCATGTGTTTTGGGTCATTTTCATGCTGGAACACCCATCCATGACCCATTTTCAATGCCCTGGGTGAGAGAAGAAGGTTCTCACGCAAGATTTGACAGTACGTTGCCCCGTCCATCGTCCCTTTGGTGCGGTGCAGTTGTCCTGTCCCCTTAGCAGAAAAACACCCCCAAAGCAGAATGTTTCCACCACGTTTGACAGTTGGGAAGGTGTTCTTGGGGTCATAGGCAGCATTCCTCCTCCTCCAAACACAGCGAGTTGAGTTGATGCCAAAGAGCTCAATTTTGGGCTCAACCAGTTCTCCTCTGCATCATTCAGATGTTCAGTGGCAAACTACAGACGGGCCTGGACATGTGCTTTCTTGAGCAGAGGGCCTTGTGGGCACTGCAGGATTTCAATCCTTGTCGGTGTAGTGTGTTACCAATTGTTTTCTTGGTGACTGTGGTCTCAGCTGCCTGGAGATCATTGACAAGATCCTCACGTGTAGTTCTGGGATGATTCCTCACTGTTCTCTTGATCATTGACACTCCACGAGGTGAGATCTTGCATGGTGCACCAGACCTAGGGAGACTGATAGTTTTGTGTTTCTTCCATTTGTGAATGATTGCACCAACTGTTGTCACCTTTTCACCAAGCTGCTTGGCGATAGTTTGGTAGCCCAGTCCAGCCTTGTGTAGGTGTACAATCTTGTCCCTGACATCCTTGGACAGCTCTTTGGTCTTTGCCATGGTGGAGAGTTTGGAAACCGATTGATTGCTCCTGTGGACAGGTGTCTTTTATACAGGTAACAAAATGAGATTAGTAGCACTCCTTTTAAGAGACTGCTTCTAATCTCAGCTTGTTACCTGTATGAAAGACACCTGGTAGCCAGAAATCCTGCTGAATGCCAGGGGATCAAATACTTATTTCCCTCATAAACATGCAAATATCAGTGCATAATTTGTTAGACATGCATTTCTTTTGAATGTTTGTTGCTATTCTGTCCCTCAGTGTTACAATACACCTACCATTCGATTTTTAGACTGATCATTTCTTTGTGAGTGGGCAAACATTCAAAATTAGTAGGGGATCAAATACTTATTTCCTTCACTGTATATGTATGGGCAAAAGCATAATATTTCCCTAGCTACACCTTTTTCAATGTGGTCCACAAATGTGTTCCAAAATTCATGTATTGCAGATATAGCATGATAGTATGTACATTCATGGCCAAAAATCTTGTCCCCCCCTGCAAATCTGTCAGATAATGCACCACTTCGCCAATAAAATTGTTGCAATTACAAATGTTTCGACATTCTCAGGTTTATTTCCTTTGTGTGTATTGGTATGACACAAAAATGTGGAGAAAGAAAAATTCAAAATCGGACACATTCCACGAAAACCCCCAAAAATGGACTAGTCAAAACTGACACTTTCAATATTTGCTAGCACACCCCTTGGAAAAAAATAACTGAAATTGATTGGCTTCCTGTAACCATAGTTTTTCCAACCTCTCTACTGGAATTTTGGAGTTCTATTCTTTCGCCAACTGCTCTCAGATTGGAAGGGTTCCTTTTCCCCAGCTGCTGTTTTGAGATCTCTCCACAGGTGTTCTATGGGACAAAGATCTGGACTCCTTGCTGGCCAGTTCAGTAGTTTTTTTTTTCTTGGTGCTTTTTGATGTGTGCTTTGGGTCATTGTCCTGCTGTAAGACCCATGACCTCTGGTGGAGACCCAACTTTCTGACACTGGGCCCTATATTGCGCCTCAGATTTCTTTGATAATCTTAAGACTTCACAGTGCCTTGCACACAGTCACACATTCAGTACCTGAAGCAGCAAAGCAACCCCAAAATATCAGTGAACCTCCACCATGTTTGACTGTGGTCTTTTCTTTAAAGGCCTCATTGCTTTTTCTGAAATAATGATGGGCTTTACCAAAAAAGCTGCAATTTTGTTTTGTCGGTCCACAGCACATTCTCCCAAAAGGATTTTGGCTTCCTCGGGTAGGTTTTGGCAAACTCCAATCTGACTTTTTAATGTTTCTGTGTCAGCAGTGGGCTCCTCCTGGGTCTCCTACCATAGCTTCCCTTTTCATTCAGACATATAGTGCGAGCTGACACAGTTGAACCCTGTGCCTGAAGGTCAGATTGAATTTGTCTGAAGTTGATCAAGGTTCTTTATCCACCATTCGGACAATTCTTCGTTCCAATCTTTGATCAATTATTCTCTTTCGTCCAAGTCCCAGGGAGATTAGCTACAGTGCTATGGGCTGTAAACTTTGACAATGTTGCTCACAGTGGACACAGGAACATTTAGATCTCTGGTGATGGAATTCTAACCTTGAGATCGTCCATGCTCTTGAACAACACTTAGGCAATGCTTTCCTGCTCTCTCTTCTCCATGCTCCATGTGGCACAGAGACACACAACAGAAATGTTCACCATTAACTGGTTGCTGGTGTGATTTCCATATTGTTAGCACCTGTTAATTGATACAGGGGAGTTTAAATACAAATTCCAGGAGCATCATAAAACTTGGAATGCAATTATTTTTTACAATTTTGAGAAAGTGCCAATAATTTTTTCCAGTGCTTTTTTGGGGTATTGCATGGAATGTGTCAGATTTGGCTTTTTGTTTCTCCACCTTTTTGTGTCTCACAAATACAAATAAAAGAAAAATAATTTGCTGGGCAAAGTGGTGCATTATCTGACAAATGCAGGGGTGCCAGTATTTTTGGCCATGACTGTATGTTGTATGATATAGATAAGTAGCAGACAGAAGTGTTAATTTTATATCTATGCTTCATTACATAGATCAGGATATATTCTATCAACCTGCTAGCATACAAACGTGACATACAACTAATTAAACAGAAAGTACTACACAAAATTATTCTTTATAAAATAGCTGCAGCTGATAAAATCAACTTTGCACTGCACTTCGTACCAAAAGAGTTCCCACACACACCAACTTACACCATCCAATCCGTCATGACTGTTAGTCAGCAGAATGGGATCTGGTACTGGCAAATTCATTTCAGAATGTATTTGTGTGAGGTCTTGAACATTAAGCATGGGCTCCTGCAAATAAAAAGTACAGATAGGAAAAATGTGATAACAGAAACAAAAAGACTAATGTCTTATTTTTAATTAAAAATGAGCAGTCCTACCTTCAGAAAGCTGTCCAGTTCTAACAATTTCTTTGGGAAAAAAGTGGCAACAAGATCTTCAGCCTTAAACACCAAGAAAAAAAACAAAACGAATATTAAGCGTTAACACTGCACACTGTAGCTTTTGTTATTACATTATTGCGCAACACAGCATCCCCTTTGAACACCAAGTAAAGTTGCTCATCATTGAGCTAGAACCCACACAAACACTGAATATTCAGAGCCCTAGCAAGCAGTCAAAGATAGTCATAATTGCAGGCATGTCCTCATTCATGTCCAGCACCTAAATCTGTATCTTTTTTCTAAACAAGCATTATTAATTTATTGTTGTTTTCCCACAATAAATCACCAGTGGAATTGTTTAAAACAGTAAAAAAGCTGTTCAAAACAGTTCACCGTTTTCTGATCATTCACTACCCAACAAGCCTTGGCCATGTTTGTCGTGCCCCATATCTCAATCAAGCTGAAAACTGGGCAACCAGCATATAACTGCAGCTTTTAATAAACTGTAAATTTGAGAACACCTTAAAGGATAAGTTAACCTAATAAAATAATAAAAAAAATGGCCAGTTTTTGTGCTTTCCACTCTGCTATGCAGAGCCATCCAAAGCAGTGTGCTGGAGCTGACAGGGGAGAGCACTGTATTGTTTACATACAGTTCTCTCCCACATTGGTAATACTCGGCGATCATCGGGTGCCGGTGAGTAATCACCGGCTGGGACCCGGTGACTGACAGCTGGCGGCGTGGGTAGGGCGCATGCGCCCTACACCCAAGAATGCAAAATCACATACACACACACACGTGATTTTGCACACCCCTGCCGCCCTGTAGCAGTATTTATGCTATAGGGTGGTGGGAAAGCGGTTAATTTACAGATCGCTGTAAATGGTGTGGCTTGAGCCCCACAGGGCCACGTTCTTTTCAAATTAGCAGGTGTGGGGAGAAGATCCCTGGCCGACTGTCACAATGGATTGGCGAGAGGCTGCAGGAGTGGGAGCATGTTACATGTTCCATCCTACAAATGGGTGGAACATGCAACAGGTTCCCAAAAGGTGAACTTCTCCTTTAACCACTTGCCCTCCAGAGGATTTACCTCCCTTAATGACCAGGCCTTTTTTTGCTATTCGGCGCTGCACAATTTCAACTTATAATTGTGCGGTCATGCAATGTTGTACCCAAACCAAATTTACATTCTTTTTTTTCCCCCACACAAATAGAGCTTTCTTTCAGGGGTATTTGATCACCTGTGCGCTTTTTATTTTTGGCGCTATAAATAAAAAAGACCGAAAATTTTGAAAAAACCCCTATTTTTTACTTTCGGCTATAAAAAAAAAAAAAAACCACAGTAAACTCAAAGTTATTCATAAATTTAGCCCAAAATGTATTCTGCTACATGTTCGGTAAAGAAAAATCCCAATAAGTGTATATTGATTTGTGTGAAAGTTATAGAGCTTACAAAATATTGCAATTTACACCATTGTTTGCTATACAGCGCTGCACTAGTTTAAACTGACAATTGCGCGGTCATGCAATGCTGTACATAAATGATATTTATGTCCTTTGTCACACAAATAGAGCTTTTTTTTGGTCGTTTTTGAACACCTGTGAGCTTTTTATTTTTCACGCTATAAACAAAAAGACTAAAATTTTGAAAATAATTAAAATAAAAAAATATATATATATATATATATATATATATATATATATATATATATATATATATCATTTCTGTCATGAAAAATATCCAAAAAACCCTCAAATTTCAAAAAATGGAATTTACACAGCTTTTGCTTTCTGACTGCCTATCATCACACTTCTTCAGGTGCTAAAATGCCAGGACAGTACAACCCCCCCCCCCCCCCCCCAAATAACCCCTTTTTGGAAAGTAGACACCACAAGGAATTGAAAAATAGGCATGGTGAGTATTTTGCAGATCTCATCTTTTCTCACAAGTTTTTTTAAATATAAAAAAAAAAAAAAAATGTTTGTTTTTTTTTCTTCAATTTCCAAAAACTTGCTGCAACAAACGAGATCTGCAAAATACTCCCAATGCTTCCTATCAAATTCCTTGGGGTGCCTACTTTCCAAAACTTGGTCATGGGGGGGGGGTTGCTATCTTGGCATTTCAGGGCCTCTGAATCTGTGATAGGTAGTCAGAAAGTGTTATGAGGGGAAAAGGCCCTTTAAAAGCCTGGAGATGCTTATTGGATTTGGGAGTCCTGTACTTGGATAGACTGTCATAAAGTCTCTCACATGCGGTATCCCCATACTCAGGAGAAGTAGCAGAATGTATTCTGAGTGTAATTCCACATATACCCATGGCATGTGTGAGCAATAAATTATTTAAATGACAATTGTGTAAAAAAAAAAAAAAAAACTTTTTTTGTGTCATTTTTCAAAAACTTGTGGTAAAAAATTAATTATTCTATTGACTCAACATGGCTCTCAGCAAATAGCTTGGAGTGTCTACTTTCCAAAAAAAAAAGGGTAATTTTGGGGGGTGGGGGCATTTTATGCCCAGCATTAGAAATGTATGCCACACATCACTCACTCTTCTAACCACCTGAAGACCAAGCTTTTTCTGACACTTTGTTGACTTGAAAAAAATCTGTATTTTTGCTAGTTAATTACTTTGAAACCGCAAACACTATATATATTTTTAAAGCAGACACCCCAGTGAATAAAATGGTGGGTGCTGCAATTTTTTTATGTCACATAGTACTCGTGCAGCGATTTTTCAAATGCAAAGTTTTTTAAAAGAAATACACTTTTTTTAAATTTTTAATGCACCATAGGCAATACTTTAAAAGCATTTACAAGCTACCATTTTAGATTTACAGAGTAGGTTTATTGCTAGAATTACTGCCCTTGATCTGATGTTCGTGGAGATACCTCACATGCAAAGTGCAACTGCTGTTTACATACTGGCATGGGGTAAAATCTTTAGTTACCGTATTTTTTGCTCCATAAGACGCACCTGACCATAAGACGCACCCTAGGTTTTAGAGGCAGAAAACAAGAAAAAAAATATTCTGAACCAATAGACTGCAGACACAGTACAGGGGACGGCCAGAGACTGCGGACACAGTACAGGGGACGGCCAGAGACTGCGGACACAGTACAGGGGACGGCCAGAGACTGCGGACACAGTACAGGGGACGGCCAGAGACTGCGGACACAGTACAGGGGACGGCCAGAGACTGCGGACAGTACAGGGGACGGCCAGAGACTGCGGACAGTACAGGGGACGGCCAGAGACTGCGGCCACAGTACAGGGGACGGCCAGAGACTGCGGCCACAGTACAGGGGACGGCCAGAGACTGCGGCCACAGTACAGGGGACGGCCAGAGACTGCGGCCACAGTACAGGGGACGGCCAGAGACTGCGGCCACAGTACAGGGGACGGCCAGAGACTGCGGCCACAGTACAGGAGACGACCAGAGACTGCGGCCACAGTACAGGAGACGACCAGAGACTGCGGCCACAGTACAGGAGACGACCAGAGACTGCGGCCACAGTACAGGAGACGACCAGAGACTGCGGCCACAGTACAGGAGACGACCAGAGACTGCGGCCACAGTACAGGAGACGACCAGAGACTGCGGCCACAGTACAGGAGACGACCAGAGACTGCGGCCACAGTACAGGAGACGACCAGAGACTGCGGCCACAGTACAGGAGACGACCAGAGACTGCGGCCACAGTACAGGAGACGACCAGAGACTGCGGCCACAGTACAGGAGACGACCAGTAGACGACCAGAGCGGCGGCCACAGTACAGGAGACGACCAGAGACTGCGGACACAGTACAGGAGACGACCAGAGACTGCGGCCACACAGTACAGGAGACGACAGGCGGCCACAGACAGAGACTGCGGCCACAGTACAGGAGACGACCAGAGACTGCGGCCACAGTACAGGAGACGACCAGAGACTGCGGCCACAGTACAGGAGACGACCAGAGACTGCGGCCACAGTACAGGAGACGACCAGAGACTGCGGCCACAGTACAGGAGACGACCAGAGACTGCGGCCACAGTACAGGAGACGACCAGAGACTGCGGCCACAGTACAGGAGACGACCAGAGACTGCGGCCACAGTACAGGAGACGACCAGAGACTGCGGCCACAGTACAGGAGACGACCAGAGACTGCGGCCACAGTACAGGAGACGACCAGAGACTGCGGCCACAGTACAGGAGACGACCAGAGACTGCGGCCACAGTACAGGAGACGACCAGAGACTGCGGCCACAGTACAGGAGACGACCAGAGACTGCGGCCACAGTACAGGAGACGACCAGAGACTGCGGCCACAGTACAGGAGACGACCAGAGACTGCGGCCACAGTACAGGAGACGACCAGAGACTGCGGCCACAGTACAGGAGACGACCAGAGACTGCGGCCACAGTACAGGAGACGACCAGAGACTGCGGCCACAGTACAGGAGACGACCAGAGACTGCGGCCACAGTACAGGAGACGACCAGAGACTGCGGCCACAGTACAGGAGACGACCAGAGACTGCGGCCACAGTACAGGAGACGACCAGAGACTGCGGCCACAGTACAGGAGACGACCAGAGACTGCGGCCACAGTACAGGAGACGACCAGAGACTGCGGCCACAGTACAGGAGACGACCAGAGACTGCGGACACAGTACAGGAGACGACCAGAGACTGCGGACACAGTACAGGAGACGACCAGAGACTGCGGACACAGTACAGGAGACGACCAGAGACTGCGGACACAGTACAGGAGACGACCAGAGACTGCGGACACAGTACAGGAGACGACCAGAGACTGCGGACACAGTACAGGAGACGACCAGAGACTGCGGACACAGTACAGGAGACGACCAGAGACTGCGGACACAGTACAGGAGACGACCAGAGACTGCGGACACAGTACAGGAGACGACCAGAGACTGCGGACACAGTACAGGAGACGACCAGAGACTGCGGACACAGTACAGGAGACGACCAGAGACTGCGGACACAGTACAGGAGACGACCAGAGACTGCGGACACAGTACAGGAGACGACCAGAGACTGCGGACACAG